ACATGGTGAAATCCCATTTCTACTAAGAATTCAAAAATCATCCGAGTGTGGTAGTGCGCACCTGTAATCCCAACTACTCGGGAGACTGAGGCAGGAGAATTGCTTGAACCCGGGAGACAGGGGTTGCAGTAAGCCGGGATCACCTCACTGCACTCCAGCCTGGGCAACAGAGTAAGACTCCGTCTCAAAAAAAAAAAAAGAAAGAAAATGACAGGGTGCGGTGGCTCACTCACGCCTGTAATCCCAACACTTTGGGAGGCTGAAGTGGGTGGATCACCTGAGGTCTGGCGTTCGAGACCAGCCCAGCCAACATAGTGAAACCCCATCTCTATTAAAAATACAAAAAATTAGCCAGGTGTGGTACGGGCGCCTGTAATCCCAGCTACTCAGAAGGGTGAGGCAGGAGGAGCGCTCAAACCTGGGAAGTGGAGGTTGCAGTGAGCTGAGATCGCACCACTGCCACTCCAGTGGGAACAGAATCAGACCTCCTCAAAAAAGAAAAAAAAGATAAAAAACAAAATGCAAAGCAACAGAATGACAATTATTAGTAATCATTATTAAAAGGATAAAGATTGCAGAAGATGGGGGGAAATGAGGAAATGGAGAATTTCCACAGAAAAATTAAAAACACCCAAGAGCAAATATTAAAATATACAATATGGCAATTTAAAAATTTTGTGACACGGACTAAATAGCAATCAGGACTATCAGAAAAGAGGGCTGGTAATGCCAAAGACACATTGATAGAAATTATTCAAACAGGCCGGGCGCGGTCGCTCACACCTGTAATCCCCCAGCACTTTGGGAGGGCAAGGGGGTGAATCATGAGGTCAGGAGTTCGAGACCATCCTAGCCAACATAGTGAAACTACTATCACTACTAAAAATACAACAAAAATTAGCCGGGTGTCGGGGCAGGCACCTGTAATCCCAGCTACTGGGGAGTCTGAGGCAGGAGAATCTCCTGAGCCCGGCAGGCAGAGGTTGCAGTGAGCTGAGATCGCACCACTGAACTCCAGCCTGGGCAACAAAGTGAGACTGTATCTCCAAAAACAACAACAAAAAAAGAAATTATTCAAACAGTAGCACAGAGACAGAAAATAAGAGAACAAACAGAGACCCATGCAACAACAGCCAGGCCCGTCACACGTGACTGCAGAGACCTGTGGGCCACCATGGCCATGATACAGACGAACACAGAGACCTGTGGGACACCACGGCCATGATACAGGTGACTGCAGAGACCTGTGGGACACCACGGCCATGATACAGGTGACTGCAGAGACCTGTGGGACACCATGGCCATGGTACAGGTGACTGCAGACACCTGTGGGACACCATGGCCATGATACAGGCGAACACAGAGACCTGTGGGACACCATGGCCGTGATACAGGTGAACACAGAGACCTGTGGGTCACCATGGCCATGATACAGGTGACTGCAGAGACCTGTGGGACACCATGGCCATGGTACAGGTGAACACAGAGACCTGTGGGTCACCATGGCCATGATACAGGTGAACACAGAGACCTGTGGGACACCATGGCCATGATACAGGTGACTGCAGAGACCTGTGGGTCACCATGGCCATGGTACAGGTGAACACAGAGACCTGTGGGACACCATGGCCGTGATACAGGTGAACACAGAGACCTGTGGGTCACCATGGCCATGATACAGGTGAACACAGAGACCTGTGGGACACCATGGCCGTGATACAGGTGAACACAGAGACCTGTGGGACACCATGGCTGTGATACAGGTGACTGCAGAGACCTGTGGGACACCATGGCCATGATACAGGTGACTGCAGAGACCTGTGGGACACCATGGCCATGATACAGGTGAACACAGAGACCTGTGGGACACCATGGCCATGATACAGGTGAACACAGAGACCTGTGGGACACCATGGCCGTGACTGATATAGGAGACTACAGAGACCTGTGGGATGACACCCAGCACATGGCACATGTACCAGAGGCCCAAAAGGAAGACAGAGAGTGGGAAATCAGAAAAATTTGAGAAATATTCTCCCAGAAACTGAACTCTAAGGAAGATAAAGAAAACAAACATTTTCAGAAATAACGGTGAAGACTTCAAAATCTGTTAAAATGCACCCACCCCCAGGCCGACGTCACTCAGTTCAGAAAACTAGACCCAGGTCTATCACAAACTGTCGAAGTCCAAAAAATGCAAGAAAATCATCTATATGGTCCAAAGAGGTTTCACATTTATAGGGTTCTGTGAGCCCCTCCCTGCTGGTGCAGAGACGATAAACCTTAGAAACAAGACACAGACACAGAGCTAGAGAAGACAGGGTCGGGGTCCACTGCCAGCCGAGGCATGGAGACCTGCAGTGGCCCTGAGTGGCTCGACGCTCCGACTGAATTTATTGAGCACAAAGCAGGGGGCGGGAAGGTCAGGGGAGGTAACGGTGGTCGGTGACGGGGTCACGTAAATCTTGTGTCTTGGAGACAGGGGCCCAGGACTTTCACGGAGCCGAGGCGAGGAGAAAACCTAATGCATATTTCTCAGAAACTTCAAGGACACTAAGATCATGTTACTATTATTCTCACCTTTTAAGAAAAAGAGAAACCGGGGGCAGGAGTGGGGCGTGAGAGTGGACGTGGAACGTGAGCGCTGAAGCCAGCATCACATACAGGCAGTTGAGCCCCCGACATCTGCAGGTCCCCGACAGCTGCCAGGCCCGCCGCAGGAGCTTGGAGGAGCAGTTTTCTCCTGACTGCCCTGGGAAGGACACGTCTCGGCCATTTTGGGCGTCTCCTCCCCTAGCTGGCTAAATGGCGGGTGCTTTCCCAGCGTGGGCGCTGCCGCACAGCCCAGGTGTCCTCCAGCAGCCCTTACATGGGCGTGACAGAGGGCTCAGGACATCATGACTTAGGATCACTCTGTTGACAATGTCACCCAGTTCCATGCCTCATAACCCAATAGTCACTAGTAAGATTAAAGATTATATTGAGCATATATCTTTATAAGTAACTCTAAGATTATATATGATTATATGAAGGAATAACTATGCGCCTACATTTCTAATTCTTTTCTAAATCAATATATATATGGGAACAGGCTGAGGCTCCAGACCCTTGCCAAGGTACTTGCAGGGTTCCCCCCTGCATATATTAAGGAAAACGGAAGAATGGGGAAATTCCTCATCAGAAACAAGAGAGAGCAGGCGTAATTAGAACTTTAACACACCAAAAAAAAAAAAAAACAAAAAAACTGTCCACTCAGAATTCTATATCCTGTAAAAATCTACTTCAAAAGAGAAGGAGCTGGGTGTGTTGGCTCATGCCTGTAACCCCAGCGGTTCGAGACCAGCCTAACCAACATGGAGAAACCCCGTCTCTACCTAAAAGTACAAAAATTAGCTGGGCACGGTGGTGCACGCCTGTAATCCCAGCTACTCGGGAGGCTGAGGCAGGAGAATCCCTTGAACCCAGGAGGCAGAGGTTGTGGTGAGCCGAGATCGCGCCATTGCACTCCAGCCTGGGTAACGAGAGGGAGATTCCATCGAAAGAAAGAAAGAAAGAAAAGAAAGGAAGGAGGGAGGGAGGGAGGGAGGGAGGGGGAGAGAGAAAGAAAGTAGGAAGGAAAGGAAAGGAAAGGGGAAAGGGGAAAGGGAAAGGGAAAGGAAAGGAAAGGAAGAAGGAAAGAAAGAGGCCGTTGAGCCACAAAAAGATATGGAGGCTTCTGAAATGAATACGGAAGTGCCAGTCTCAAAGATACACACCGTCCGTGCTCACCACAGAACATCCTCATCAAACTGCTCAAAACCAGCGGCAGCGAAACGCCGTCAAAGAGGCAGAGGAAAAAACCAAGAGAGGACTAAAGATTTCCCGCGGGAGGCAGGGTGAACCAGAAGACAAAGCACCTTCCCGGCCTGAAGGAACCTAAACCGGACCCCAGTGCTCCAACGGAAACTGCTCTACAGGCCAGGCGCGGTGGCTCGTGCCTGTGATCCCAGCACTTTGGGAGGCCGAGGTGGGTGGATCATGAGGTGAGGAGTTCAAGACCAGACTGGCCAACACGATGAAACCCCGTCTCTAAAAAAACACACAAAGTAGCTGGAATTGGTAGGTCGTGCCTGTAATCCCAGCTGCTTGGCAGGCTGATTAGGAGAATCGCTGGAACCTGGGAGGCGGAGGGTGCAGTGAGCCGAGATTGGGCCTCTGCACCCCAGCCTGGGCTACAGAGCGAGGCTCCAACTCAAAAAAAAAGAAAAGAAAACCACACCACAGCCCATCCCCACACCACCAGGCTGCCCAGCGGCTGGCACTGGTTCTCACAGCTCCTGGCCCTGGCTCACCGGAGACCCCTGACTCTCCCGTACCCATCACACAAGTGGTCCTGGCCCATCTCTTTCCTATCCTCCCTCAGGCCAACCCAATCACCTCCCAACTGGGGGCTGGCCCCTCACATGGCTCACGCAGGCCTTGGCACACGCCACCACCGTGCCCACATCTCCCTCACTGACATGGAGAGGGCGCCACCAACACGGTCTGAACAGCCCCTGCAGAGCTGTGAACAACGCAGACCTCGAGCGGCTTCCACACCAAGAACACACTCGGCCTCATAACCCGCGGTGCCCACCCTGCCCCGCACCTGCCCTCTGTGCCCGCAGCCTCTGGGAGCCCAGGCCTGTCACCTCCGTGTCTGCTGTCATAACTGCCAGGACTCTGCTGAAGTGGGCAAAGCAGGCCCATCCTCCTTCAGGCTCAGCTCAAATGTCACTTCCAGGGCACTGCCCCGACCACCTCTAGGCAGACACAGGCCCTCCTCACACACACTCCAGCATCGCGCCTACATTCCCCTTACTGAGCAGCCGACACGTGGCCCACCACGCCGTCCCCTCACTGGACCCCCTGCCTGTGTTGGTCACAACTTACCCCAGATCGTCAAACAGACACGCAGGCCCCGAGGGAGAGGACGAGGACACCCGCCATCCCAGCCCCACCCAGTCCACCACACGGCGCCCTGGGCTTCAAATCAAGTTTAATAAATAAAACAGCAAGGGGGGTTCAAGGCAGTTATCACTTCACAGTGTGGTCCTTGGTGGGGGTGAGGGATGGTCGAGTCCACTCGGAAAGGTGCTCGGACACAACAGGCCGACGGCACCCGCCCACTGAGGACCCCACTCCAACGTGTAAACAGACAGACGAGGGGCGGGGAGGATGGGACTCCGAGCCAGCGTGCTGGGACGCTCCCACAGAAGAAAAGCCTGCAGGGCTGGGCAAACGGGCTGGAGTCGGGCCCGCGTGGTGGCGAGGGCGGCCGGCTCCTCTGGGGGCCCCTGCCTTGGTACTGGGGGAGGGCAGCAAAGAGGGTGTAAGCCACCTGTCTCCTCAAACCCACGTCTGGGGTTGCTGAGGGGCCCCCACCCCAACCGCTCAGGATCAGAAAGCAGGGATGGAGGGGAGGAGGCGGGGGGGGGGGTGTAAAGTGCGGCTTTTCCTGAAGTGGAGACAACGGGGTAGGGGGGTGGGGGGAGCCGGACAGCGAGGTATATGGCTCTGTGCCCCAAGGGGTTGGCACTGAGAAGCAGCTGCCCATGACCCCCCAGCTGGGGCAGCCCACGGCCCTGCCAGGTGTGGAGAGACAGAGCCCAGCAGGGAGCTGAGGGCGCCCCAGCGGAGGCTGCTGGTGCGGGGCGGGGCGTCCTGCCATCTCCCCGCCGGGGCAGCAACCCCTTCCCTCGCCTCTGCTGGCTGGAAGGGACTAGGCGGCCGGCTCTGCCCGGTGTCCCCAGGGCCGGGTCTTTCTGTCCCTGGCCGCCTGATGAACCCCACGTGCAGGCAGTAGCCTGGACCCAGGCAGCAGTGCCGGGCGCTGACGGTGCTGGGTATGACCCTGGGTCCAGTCTGTGTGGTTGGGGGCAGGGGCTCACGGCCCAGCCCCCTCACCCCAGTCCCGATGTGTTCTGAAGCAGAGGAGGTGCTGCCCCAAGGCCTGAGAGGGGGGAAGGGGTCAGAAGACCGACCGAGGCGGGCCAGCAGCAGCGCCAAGTCCAGTCTGGGCCACACACGCCCGCCCACAGCCAGGAATCAACAGGTCATCACATTACAGCTGCAGGGGAGACCAAGAGAGAAGCAGAGTCAGTGAGGCCCACATGTCCACACGGCCTCGTGCCGGGGGCTGACCCGAGCCTCCCAGCCTTGCCCCTGCCCAGAACCTACACGGGTGAGTGTCAGCGACGCCCACATGTCCACATGGCCTGGTGCCGGGGGCTGACCCGAGCCTCCCAGCCTTGCCCCTGCCCAGAACCTACACAGGTGAGTGTCAGCGACGCCCACATGTCCACACGGCCTCGTGCCGGGGGCTGACCCGAGCCTCCCAGCCTTGCCCCTGCCCAGAACCTACACAGGTGAGTGTCAGCGACGCCCACATGTCCACACGGCCTGGTGCCGGGGGCTGACCCGAGCCCTGCCTCCCCCAACCTACACCAGTGCAAGTAGCCTGAACAAGCCCCTACAGCAGCAGGGCCCATGCTCTGGGGAGCTAGTGGCTGGGGCAGGGCAGGGAGAGCCCGGCGCCTGCCCTGTTTGTGGAGAATGTGGACCACAGGAATGTATTCTCCCGCGGGAAATGCAGAAATCAAACCAGAAGTAGAAAAGAAACTAAAGAAACTGTCCTCGGGCCCTCGGGGCAAATCCGCCCCCTTCTGCAGCTCAGCCTGAGGGCTGGGGGGACCTCAGCTGGGGCGCTGGGCAGCACTCACTGTGACAGGGGCTCCGAGTGTAGCCCGGGGGCCGGGCACGTGGGGTGGGCGGCCAGGAAGGGGTTCACGTCCCCAATGCCGATGAGTCCAAACTCGGTGACTGACAAAGCCACCTGGGCAGGGGCCACCGTCTCCTCCGGGTCCGCACCCAGGTCCACATGGCTGGGGATGAGGGGCAGCTCCCCGGGCAGAGCGAAGTCCACGGCCAACCTCGGGCTGGCGTCTGGCTCCGGAGCAGCAACAGCTGGCAGGTACGAGGCTGGGTCGGCCGGGGCTGGGGGCAGACGGGGCAGGGGCACAGCGGGGGGCTCGTCCAGCTGTTGTTGGAAGGAACAGGGCCCTGGCTCCGAGGACGGGGGGCCACCAGAGGCCACTTCAGGCTCACTGAGACCACCAGCTGTGCCATCCATGCTCAGGGGCTCTGTGAACGAGAAGGCAGCAGGGGGTGGGGCCTGCCCACAGACACAGGGCCGCAGCCACGCCACGCTCAGTCGCCTTGCACGGCAGGCTGTGGACCGGGCGGGCACCCACCTAACCTTGCTGGGTCCAGCAAAGCCCATGGACCTCAAAGAAGCCCCTGCACAAACACAAAACAAAGCAGTTACGCTGACATCTGTGAGGCCGCAGGCTGAGGCCCCCAGGTTAAAAAGTCATAACATCACTGAATGGGTCACAACCCACATCTTTAAACCAGGGCAGAAACAACAGACTTGGGTATAAATGATGCTTAGGGCAGTGAACTAGGAGGCAAGGAGATGTGGGCACCCTTGGGCAAACGAGCCACGCAAACCGCATTCTGGAAATGGGGCGACCCTGCCGCGACTCAACCAGCTCAACGCAGGGCAAGAGAGCAAAGGGTCCCTGTCTCCACCCCACCCGCCCCCGCAGGTCTCCACCCTCGGACACGGTGAGAACTGCCCGAGGCCTCATCGTGCTCCGTGGTGGCCTCAGGTGCAAGATGCTGGCGACAGCTCCAACACCCTGTCCTTCCTGAGTGTCCCGGTGACTGGGGCTACGTCCCCAGCGAGGGGCGGGCAGGCCTTCCCGGGACACCAAGGCCTGGAGAGCACCCCACCTGACCCTGTGGGGCTCGCCGGGGGTGGGCCAGAGGCAGCCCTTCAGCAAGCCCAGGCAAGCACCGTCCGTGCCCTCCCCTCTCCTGGCCAGGTGTGCAGAGCCACATCCACACCACGTGGCGGGCCCTCGACTACCCAGATTCCCACCCCTCCCAGGCGCCAGGGACGGGGGCTCCACCTGGCCTTGTAGCTCCAGACCAGCGGCCACCCCCAAGGCAGGTGACGCTCCCCATGTCTCACCTGTGTGCATCGCAGCCAGGGCGTCCTGCTCAGGGCGGGGGCGACCGGGGCCATCAGGGTCACTGCCATCCAGGTCCTGGTCTGTGTCCCTGTGGGGAGAGGGCGCCATGAAGGGCAGGGGCAGCTGAGACAAGGGACGCCCCCACCCAGGGGGTGCCGCCCAGGCACCCACATGCCCACCCCCGGTGGGGTGGCCTCCCATGGTTACTGCCGGGGAGCAGCGCTGCACGCACGTGGTTCCAGACGGGACGTACTTCCTCCGGCCCAGCCGCGTCTGCTGGGCAAAGTAGTCATAGCGCTCCGACTTCTTCCACAGGTAGTAGTACTCTACACACTCGCCCACCGACCGCGTGCGCACCTGTGGGGAGGGATCAGGTGTCACCTCCGTCCCCAGCTGCCAGCCCCTGCACCCTCAACCCAGGACGTCTCCTGGGATGGCACAGAAGGGGCACGGCACCCACTGTGCTCAGATCATGCAAGACCCTCCATGACCCTACTCAGGCCCACGGGCTACGCCCACCATGAGCGAATGGGGGATCGCAGCATGTGGCACTGACTCCTGTTTCAAGCCCCTGCAGAGCCCCCCAGCTCCTGGCTTGAGACCTCCCTTTCCTTTCTGTAGCATCAGCCACACACACGGGTCCTCCAGGGTCCACAGACTCCCAAATGCACAAGCCCGCGGCGCCTGCTCTTCCACCAAACGAGTGAGCACTTCCCAGTGCACACAAGACCCCACGGAAGGACAAACCAGTTCTGTGAACCTGACTCAGAATTCACAACGCAGCACGGAAGGACACACTGGTTCTGTGAACCTGACTCAGAATTCACAACGCAGCATAGAAAGGCCAAAACACACACACGTCAGGCGTTTGCAGAGACGAGAAGGGACGCGGGGCAAGTGTGTTCCACGCAGCACCTGGCACGGAGCTGGACGCACACCTGCCAATACCTCCTGCCTGTCCGCGTAGCACCCGGCTCGGAGCTGGACGCACACCTGCCAACACCTCCCGCCTCTCCGCGCAGCACCCGGCACGGAGCTGGACGCACACCTGCCAACACCTCCCGCCTCTCCGCGCAGCACCCGGCACGGAGCTGGACGCAAACCTGCCAACACCTCCCGCCTCTCCGCGCAGCACCCGGCACGGAGCTGGACGCACACCTGCCACCTCCTGCCTCTCCACGCAGCACCCGGCTCGGAGCTGGACGCACACCTGCCAACACCTCCTGCCTCTCCGCGCAGCACCCGGCACGGAGCTGGACGCACACCTGCCAACACGTCCTGCCTCTCCGCGCAGCACCCGGCACGGAGCTGGACGCACACCTGCCAACACGTCCTGCCTCTCCGCGCAGCACCCGGCACGGAGCTGGACGCACACCTGCCACCTCCTGCCTCTCCGCTCAGCACCCGGCTCGGAGCTGGACGCACACCTGCCAACACCTCCTGCCTCTCCGCGCAGCACCCGGCACGGAGCTGGACGCACACCTGCCACCTCCTGCCTCTCCGCGCAGCACCCGGCACGGAGCTGGACGCACACCTGCCAACACGTCCTGCCTCTCCGCGCAGCACCCGGCACGGAGCTGGACGCACACCTGCCACCTCCTGCCTCTCCGCTCAGCACCCGGCTCGGAGCTGGACGCACACCTGCCAACACCTCCTGCCTCTCCGCGCAGCACCCGGCACGGAGCTGGACGCACACCTGCCACCTCCTGCCTCTCCGCGCAGCACCCGGCTTGGAGCTGGACGCACACCTGCCAACACCTCCTGCCTCTCCGCGCAGCACCCGGCTCCGAGCTGGACGCACACCTGCCACCTGCTGCCTCTCCGCCCTGGAGGCTTGTCCCACAGCGAGCTTGAGGCTGAGGCCCCTGCTGGGGAGGCAGAAAAGACCCCCTCACCTGTACATGCCCACCACCACCAGAACCAGGACACCCAATGCTCCCCTGCGAGCACGGCGCGGGGTCCTGCCTGGGAGTGAGACCGGGACAATCTCTCCAGAGGGCCAACCTTACATGCCCGTCATGAGGGAGCTGCCCAGGAAAAGGCCAGGCTGAAATAAACACCAGCTCCCAGTCCCATTCCAGACAGAGCAAACCATCATGTGCTGGCTACACACAGCCCTGCCCAGAGCTACGGAAACACAGCCAGCAACCCTACTGCCCTGCAGCCACACCCGTCCTGGCTGCCTCCAATCCAAGCACCATGTGGCGCTGAAGTCTGATGAGGACAGTCCCCGGCTGCCGCGCAGTCACAGAGGGACGCCCTGTGGTGCACAACCAGCCCCCGGCAGGCGCCTCGCCTCCTCCATTCATGGGAAGGCATCAGGCCCCAGGACACAAGGCGGAAGCGGCCTCAGCGTAACAAGGTCACAGCCCGCAGGTCCTGAGGGGACTCAGCGCCTAAGAGGGGAGTGGACAGAGGCGGAGAAGCCACAGGTCAGCCACGGGAGGGTTTTCAGCCAGAGATGCCTGACTCTGGCAAGAGGCTGTGTAATAACCTACCCTGGGCCAGCATCACTGACCCCATCTTAGCTGTAAACTCTGAGCTTCCCCCTCCCGACCACAGCCTCTTTGGGTGCACAACTGGCCACGCTGACTCTGTGCTCATCCCACCATTTAACAGTTTAACTGTGTCCTGCCTGGCAAGCACACCTGCTATTGTGTGTAAGTCTCCTCGAAGCCCCGTTGGTGATTGTCTGGAAACACCCTTAGCAACCAACAATCCTGGGAACCTCCTCCCCACTGGTCACCAGCTAACTCGCCTGCTCTGCTTCTGTAAAATCCGCTCCAGCTAGGCTCCCTCTCCCCTACCCAAATCAAGGTGTACAGGGAAATCAAGCCCCTTCCTAGGGGCCGGGAGACTCTGAGCCTGAGCTGACTCTTGGCCAACGGCTAATTGATAAAGGACTGAATCTGGAACTTGGAGCGTGGTGCGTTTCCTTCTAAGTCGCTCGGTCATTACAGCTGGACCTTATCGCTCCAGAGGCCACAGGACACAGGGCATTCCTGCAGGACGTGCGGACACCCACAGAGGATGAGGCCAAGATCTAGGGAGGGGCAGAGGCGGCACCCGGCAGCACCCGCCTATCATGAGGGTCTTCCCTGGGTGGCAGAAGGACCTGGGTCCCTGGAGGAGGGAACCCCGAGACCCCTGGTCCCCAGGGGTCAGGCGTCAGGGTCCTGCTGTGGGATCAGTGCTGGGCACAGAGCCAGTAGGCTCCTCTCTGAGGACATGGACATGGGAATGAGGTGCCCATGGTGCTGGGGTGGATGTGAGACAGAACGACTACAGGGATTCCGCTTCTGCCACATTCCTCCCCAAAACCAGAGCCTTGTTCTTTTCGGGACTGGAAAGGGGCCCAGAGCAGTCAGCAGAGGAAACTAGAGAAGACAGCAATGGGCACGCGGTGAGGAGGCGGACACGGGGCTTCAGGCCAGCAGTCAGTCGTGTGCTGTGGGCCTGCTGACCATCAGCCCCTCCCCAGACCTCAAGGAGCCCCCTCCCCAGACCTTCTGAGACTGAGGAGTCCCTCCCCGGATGCAGACACCCCTCCTCAGACCAAGGAGCCCCTCCCCAGATGGAGAAGCCCTTTTAGACAGAGAACTCCCTCCTAGATGAAGAACCCCTCACCAGATGAAGCCCCTTCCCAAATGGAGAAGCCCCCCCCCAGAAAGAGGGCCCCCCCGACCCACACGGAGCCTGGGGGAGGAGGGAGGGCCGCGGCACCCGCACCTTGTTGGCCTGGATCAGGTGAAAGTTCTTCCCGTGCACCCGGAAGCCGTGCTCAAAGTTTCTGCACTCCTCTTCACTCCAAGCACAGAGCCCATCTGCAAAAACGGCCGGGGGACAGGTGAGCTGCGCGGGGAAGGGGAGGGGGGCAGTGGAGGGGAAGGCGCGGGCGCCGCTCACCTCGGATCACCTTCACATTGAACCGCAGCCTCCGCAGGGCCTCCTCCACGTTGAAGTTGCATTTCACCAACTCATACAGCGCCTGCGGAGAAGACGTGTAGACTCTTCCCACGGGCTCACCCCAGGAGCCGACGGCAAGAACCGTCTATGCCCTCCAGGCAGTGGTATCAAGGGCGGCCCACACTACTCATGCCCAGTGACATCAAGGCCGTCTACACGTCTATCCAGGGAGAGACATCAGGGTGTCTACATCCCCCTGTGGAGGTATCGGGAAGCGTCTGCGCCTCCTCCCTGATACGTGCTTTTAACTGGCCCCCTCCCGACCTGAGTGGCTGGTCCGATGCCCAGGCCCCCACACGCCTGACCCGTGGCCTCCTTCCTGCCCTGCCTGGCCCCCTCAGCCCCTGTCCCAAGCACGGCAGCACCCACCTGCTCACTGTCTTTCACAGTCTCTCCCTCCGGGAGCTGAGGCCCGGCCATCTCGTGCCACTGTCTCTTCACAGCCCTGTACAGGAACTCCTCCACCTCCCTCTCGGGGAGGACGCTGGGGTCCCAGAGCAGCTGGTCTTCGTTCTCGTAGACTGCATAAGCAGAGGGCAAGGGTTTGCTGCAGGAACCCACTGTGCACCCACACACGCCAGGACAGGGAAGAGGCACTGTCCCACCCCCCTTTTCCCTGGGGACGCTGTCACTCGCTCCTCTTGGGCTTGGTGAGGCTGGATCCAGGGCAGGCTCTGGGTGCCAGACACAGGCCTGTATCCTCATGACCAAATGCAGGCAGCCAGGAGCAGTCAGCAGGGGCGCCTCATCCAGCCAAGGGGTCAGAGCAAGCTGCGGGCAGCCTAGATCTGGGGCAGGGGAGTTCCCAGCGAGGACTCTGCAGAGGGGGATCTAAGGAGTGACCCCAGTGAGGTGAGGCTGGCTTCAGGCTGCACAGCTAGAAGATGCGGGGGCCTGAGGGAGCAGAAAGGAGACCCCAGACTCTGGATGAAGGCAGTTGGGGCCTGCGGACCCCAGACAGCGGATGAAGGCAGCTGGGGCCTGAGGACCCCAGACTCTGGATGAAGGCAGCTGGGCCTGCGGACCCCAGACAGCGGATGAAGGCAGCTGGGGCCTGCGGACCCCAGACAGCGGATGAAGGCAGCTGGGGCCTGAGGACCCCAGACTCTGGATGAAGGCAGCTGGGCCTGCGGACCCCAGACAGCGGATGAAGGCAGCTGGGGCCTGAGGACCCCAGACTCTGGATGAAGGCAGCTGGGGCCTGAGGACCCCAGACTCTGGATGAAGGCAGCTGCGGCCTGAGGACCCCAGACTCTGGATGAAGGCAGCTGGGGCCTGAGGACCCCAGACTCTGGATGAAGGCAGTTGGGGCCTGCGGACCCCAGACAGCGGATGAAGGCAGCTGGGGCCTGCGGACCCCAGACAGCGGATGAAGGCAGCTGGGGCCTGCGGACCCCAGACTCTGGATGAAGGCAGCTGGGGCCTCGGACCCCAGAAAGCGGATGAAGGCAGCTGAGGTCTGGGTCCCGTGAATAAGCAGAAGCCCTCACAGGCACCGTCGCACTCTAACCGCGGGATCTGAAGAGCCTTGGCCAGAATGTGCATCACCGCTGGGGAGATATCCTGCCCCTGGCAGCTGGTGCAGGTGGTGGATGGGCTGACAGGGGAGGAAAGGTCGACAACTTCAGATGAAGTCAGCTTTCAGCAAAGGGAGGGGTGCAGCCTCCAGCTGTGGGAAGGGACATGGCCGGGGACAAGGCAGGGGAGAGCTCACGACCAGGTCTGGGACAAGTGCCAGCACCTCTCAATTATCTAGGAAAGGGGCACAGGAACCCAGTCGAAGCAAACCAATGAATAACAAACGCCGTGAGTGCAGAGGGAGACAGTGAGAAACGCACGCAGGAAACCGCTCCCACGGGAAACTACCACCGGGAGCTGACACGCAACCAGCTCCCGGGCTGGTGCTGTGCCCACAAGGCAGGGCTTCTCCTGGTCCCCGCGGTCCCGCGAGGAAAGCGGGCGGACCCCACAGCCACCTCTCTCCATCTCCACAGGCACCGCCTGAGCCCTGCCTAGACCAAGGTGGTCTCTAAGGAAAGAGGCCATCTCTGGAGAAAAGTAGCACCACGTGCAGCCTAGCACGTGAAGAGTGGGGAAACACGAGGGAAAAACGTGAGCCAGGTGTGATGGCTCACGCCTGCAATCCCAGCACTTGGGGAGGCTGAGGTGGGAGGATCAGTCGAGGCCAGACCAGCACAGTCCATCTCTACAGAAAATTTCAAGAGTGGCCAGGCCTGGTGGTACCTGCCTGTAGTCCCAGCCACGTGGGAGGCTAAGGTGGGAGAAGCGCTTGAGCCCAGGAGGTCGTGGCTGCAACGCGCCACGAATGCGCCACTGCACTCCATCCCGGGCAGCAGAGCAAGACCCTGTCTCCAAATAAAACAAGAAAACATCAGACAACAAAGCAGGTCTGCACAGCCAATACTACGCGTCAGCAGACGAAGACATCTATCTAGGGTCAGCATGTTAGGAGAACGGACAAAGAGCCGGAGAGTCTCCACAGAGACTTGAAACTTATACAGAAGAATCTCAAGGACCTTCCAGGATTGGGAAATGCAGCACCCGAATGCATGGACCCAGGGAGTAGCTTACCAGCAACCTGAGCACAGCACGAGACCAAACTAGTGGGATCAGAAAGAAACGGAGAGCTACAAAGAAAGAGCAGAGGCCGAGAGTGGTGGCTCACACCTGTAATCCCAGCACTTTGGGAGGCCCAGGCGGGTGGATCACGAGGTCAAGAGATCGAGACCATCCTGGTCAACAAGGTGAAACCCCGTCTCTACTAAAAATACAAAAATTAGCTGGGCGTGGTGGTGCGTGCCTGTAATCCCAGCTACTCGGGAGGCTGAGGCAGGAGAATTGCCTGAACCCAGGAGGCGGAGGTTGTGGTGAGCTGAGATCGCGCCATTGCACTCCAGCCTGGGCAACAAGAGCGAGACTCCGTCTCAAAAAAAAAAGAAAGAGCAGAGTTTAGGACAGGCGTAAGACAGCTAAGCAACCTCAAAGACGTGCACACGGGTCACAGAAAAGGCAAAGAATGAGGCGGCGGCACAAAATCTGAAGAGAGAAGAGCCAAGAATTCTTCAAAACTGACGACTGATGCCAACCCCCAGAGCCAGGACACTCAGGGCAAACACAAGGACACACAGAGGCACGTGTGCACACGCACATCACAGCAAAACTGGTAAAAAAAAAAATCTGAGGCGAGACAACGGCACAATGATTTCAAAAGAAACAGTAAGACAGGCTCTGAGTTGTTTTCTGTTTGTTTTTGTTTTTAATAGAGACAAGGTTTCACCACGTTGGTCAGGCTGGTCTCGAACTCCTGACCTTGTGATTCACCCGCCTCGGACTCCCAAAGCGCTGGGATTACAGGCGTGAGCCCCCGCGCCCGGCCCAGGCTCTGACTTTTAACAGAGACGGCGGCAGACAGGAAGCAATGGAAGGAAACTGTTCAGGTGCGGAAAGAAAAAAGGCTGAAAACCTAGAAACGTATAACCATGAAAATACTCTTTAGGGAATGAAAGCAAAATCGCGGCTTTTCAGAAAAAAAAAAATGCTGAAAGACAGCGTCAGGCCGAGTGAAAAGTTCTTCAGGCTGAAGGACATGACCCCACTGGAACTGAAGGGCACACGTGGGTCAACACAGAGACTGTCCACTGTTTAAAACAGCAACGTGTCATCTTGTGATACGCAGTTCTGGTTTTTTTTGGGACGGGGTCTCGCTCTGTTGCCAGGCAGGAGTGCGGCGGCGCCATATCGGCTCACCACAACCTCCGCCTCCAGGGTTCAAGTGATTCTCCTGACAGGTAGCTGGGATTACAGGCACCCGCCCCCACCATGCCCAGCTGATTTTTTTATTTTTAGTAGAGCCCATGTTGGCCATGCAGGTCTTCAATTTTAACTCCGGTGACCTCAGCCTCCCAAAGTGCTGAGATTACAGGTGTGAGCCACCGCACAGAGCCTCACAGTCCATTTTAAATGAGCACATTGTACTTCCAAGTAGACTGTGATGAGAACTCACACTGTAACCTCTAGGGTAAGCAGTGAACTAAAATCATAAGACAAAACAAAGCTACGTAATCCAAAGGAAGACACAAAAAAAATTAGAAAGAAAAACAGGCCGGGCGCACTGTCTCACACCTGTCATCCCAGCACTCAGGGAGGCCGAGGCGGGCGGATCACCTGACGTCAGCCTGACGAACATGGTGAAACCCGTCTCTACTACAAATACAAAATTAGCCGGGCGTGGTGGCGCCCCTGTAATCCCAGCTGCTCGGGAGGCTGAGGCAGGAGAGCTGCTTGGACCCAGGAGGCGGAGGTTGCGGCGAGCTGAGATCGCACCACTGCCCTCCAGCGTTGGCAACAAGAGTGAAACTCCACCTCAAAAACACAAGAACAAAGGGCAGATGGATCACACAGAAAGCAGAGAGCAAGATGGCGGCATTACACACTTGTTTTCACAATTACATGACATACAAGTAACCTAAAAAACACAAATGAACTAAAACTCCTAAAAAACAATGACTATCAGACCAAATTAAGAACAAAATCTAGTTGGGCACAGCAGCTCGAGCGCACGTTGGGAGGCCGAGGCGGGCAGGTCGCTTGAGGTCTAGATTTTAGAGACCAGCCTGGTCGGCACGGTGAAACCTCCTCTCTACTAAAAACACACAACTCAGCTGGCTGTGGCGGCGGGCACCCGTGATCACGGCTGTGAGGCTTACGTGGGAGAACTGCTAGAAACTGGGAGGCAGAGGTTGCAGTGAGTGGAGATTGCACTGCTGGACTCGAGACTGTCTCAAAAGAAAAAAAAGATCGAAACGTGCCATTTACAGACGACACACTTCAAATAAAAAGCACAGAATGGTGGAAAGAATGGGAAAGCCGAGCAGACGCTGAGTAAACCTACGACAAGCCGCTGAGTCACGTTTATGGCTGGTCCAGTCCTTCCTCACGGTAAGAAGAGGGTTCCTACAGGACACTTCGCAACGACAGAAGAAACAACTCAACGCCAAGACAAAGCAACCCTAACGTCTGCGCACCTAACGATACGGCTGCAACGTGAAGAAGAAATGGGCAGAATTAAACGGGGAAACGCGATCCACAGCCAGAGGAGGTCATTGCAGAGCTCTCAGTAAATACACAAAGCAGCCAAACACCTGAGTGAGAATACAGACGAGGGGAACAACTACCCAACTGGCCAAGGGAAACACACAGAGGACACCCTACAACCGCACAACACACATGCTCTTCAAACACGCAGAACACTGACCAAAACAGATTAAATACTGGTCATAATGCGAGGCACAACCAACCTCAAAGAACTGAAATTAGAGGATGTTTTCTGACCACAGTGTAATAATTACACATCAGGAAGAGGGCCAGGCGTGGTGGCTGAGGCCTGTCATCCCAGCACTTTGGGAGGCCGAGGTGGGTGAATCACCTGAGGCTGGGAGTCCGAGACCAGCCTGCTCAACACAGGGAAACCCCATCTCTACTAAAAACACAAACATTAGCC